ATATATATATATATATATACTATATACATAATATATACACATATATATATATATATATATACATTATAGAGGTAAATGAATGCGGGGCGCAAAGTGAAGGGTACAAAAAGATAAGTACTTCAGACGATTGGTGGCCTGTGATGAACTCATCATAATGCCACTTCTTTCCAATTCAATCTTTTGGTTCCTTGCTCTCCAAGATATGTATTTCTACCCTTCATGTTCCGTTCCACACTTTGTGCCTCTCTAGCCTGCATTGTTACGTCCCTGAAGTAATTGGCTCTCAGTTAATATGCATTTCGAACGAACGTCCGCCCAACTCTTGGCAAACTCGCACCACATTGCTCTGGCAGCCGTTGTTATTGTGAATGCTTCCATTGAATACTGGTCTAGTAGGCGCTTCACTGTTTCTTGTCCTTGCCACGGCTTTTATTGCATGTTGTTCTCCTTACTGCTTCTATTGCATGTTGTTCTCCTTACTGCTTCTATTGCATGTTGGTTTCCATACTGCTTTTATTGCATCTTGCTGTAGCTGTATTCAATGCGAGTTCTTCTTGTAACTCTTTTTGCTTGTACGCTGCGCTTGAAGCTGCGTCCATTGCATGCGTTGAATCTGCATTTATTGCATGGTGTTCTTGAAGCTTCTCTAGAATAGAACAATATTATTGTATCTGTTCTTACTTAATTTTCTTCATTTATCTCGTCAACTTGCCTGGTCTGAGTTGGTTGGTTGGTCCAATGGGCAGGCCGCCTGGCGGGTGAAACGGTTTCACCATGAAGTGCGAATTCATGAGATATCTGCCTTGCCGCCTTAATTGAGTGCTTAATTTTAGTTTTGCTTATTTTACATGGAATTTAGCAGAAAGTTTCACCTAAAACCGCCCAGTTGAAGGGACTCTGAGAAGCAGATGAGGCAGCAAGCCGTGCAGCAGTGTGCGGTGACCAGGCGGGCAATGGAACGAGCCGATGGAAATGAGGGGAACAGGTCCCTAAAACTCTAGTTAACGCATCTACTTTGTGTAGTAAAAGAAATTAAAAGCAAAAAAATTGAAAAAAGCGAAGCGACTCTTTGAATTCAACGGCCAGTCACTCCAAAAGCAGCAACAGGACGCTGCATCGCACCCTCACTGCTCTCACTCCTACTAGCTGGGGCAACGCTCCCAGTATTTTGTTGCTTCTTGCTGTTCTTGTGCGGAAGTAGATACACAACTGCTTCATCGGTTTGTGTTGCGGTCTTCTCTTTGTTTTAATTCGACTTCTGTCCTATTGGAGCTTCTGTTTCCGCCTCTTACACTCCCAATCCTGGTACGCGTCTTGACAATTTCGTTGAGTCAAATCGAGAAAGGGGAAGCGGTTTAGGGGGGTGGGATCTGGATTGCTTCTTGGGTTTGTTTGGTGCGTCTTTAAATTGTTTGCCTCTTTATCGCTGGAGACCGCATTTATTAATTTTGCCTGTTGCATCTTCAAAGCGTTTTAGATATTGAGCGGAATCAGCGACTCTGTCCAACAACGCGAAGAGACTTCCGTTATGTACTTCTGCGCATCTGCCGCATGTTGCGCGTCTTCTATCTGAACTTTTCGTTTTAGTTCAAGTGGAAAACGTGCGATTTCCACTATAGAGACATAGGCAGAACGACGGGAGGGGGGAGGCGAGCCGACCCAACGTGTGTTTTTCGTTGCAGTATGTCTCTGGAGTATTCCGTTGCTTTCAGCGTGTGAAGTCGTCTGCAGTGTTTGTGCTGGTGCAGGGCCCTCGTTTGAAGCATCCGCAGGAGCGGTTAAGGGGAGAAAACAGCAGTTTCAAGATGCAGCAGCAGGCGGCTTCTCACAGCTTAAAAAAGCGGGGGGGGCTGATGGGGTTGGCGCTTACTTATTATTCGCTGCTGGTGCTGTTGGCACGTGGTTCACATGCATTTGCAAGAAACCTGGTGGGCTCAGGCCAGGGGGCGCTGCAGCATGCAGAAGCAGCGACTGGACAGGACGCAGCGACCAACGTGCCTTCGTTTCTCCTAGCCGCGCATCAGCACCAGCACCACCAGCACCAGCAGCAGCAGCAGGAGGGGGAAAAGCAGGAGCTGGAGGAGGCACAGAATGAGGAGCCCAACGGGGAGCAGCAACATCCTGTTCAGGAGATGGTAGATGCAGAGGAAGCTGCTGCATTGTTATCTCTTGAGGAGAAAGCAAAGTCAGGTGAGATCGCGGCGGATCAGTTGAAGGGAGCAGTTGAAAGCGCTTTTTCTGCCTTTATTCAACAAACAGAAAACAACCTTAAGAGCCTAGAGGAGGCAGTCGCAGCGGTAGAGGCGGGGCGTCTGCCTGTGGAGGCGCCGAGTTTCCTTGCAGTAGAAGAAGGACAAGGAGACACTAGCACTCTCCCTTCAGCATCAGAAGAAGAGAATGCAGACGGTGCTGATGCACCGGTAGATGCAGAGGCAGAGGGAGAAGGAGATGAGGAGCTGGGAGCGAGAACAAAGGGGACGTGGGACGAGACAAAGGAACAGGCAAAGGAGACGATGGAGGAAGTAAAAGACAGAGTGAGAGAATGGGATGAGCGGCTTTCAACTCTCGTGGGCAATGCAAAACAAGACGCAAAAAAAGCAGCAAGGAAGTTGAAGGATGCAATTGTTGAAGGTGTTGATAAGGCAAAAAGAAAAATGAGAAGGGGGTGGAGGAAATTCATCGACAACATGCACCATCAGCTCGTGGGTGCGGACAAAGAGGACTCTGACGGGGAAGCAGCACAAGCTGCAACAGATGACGCAACAGGCGAAAGAGGAGGAGGAACTGAAGATGAGAGGCTGAAGAGAAAACTCTTTGGGGGCGGCCTTCACCCGCCAGAGGACGGAGAAGGGAGCGAAGGAAACGGCAGTGTTAGTACAGCTGACGGCGAAGGGAGAAGTGGTGCAGAGGGAGAGCCTTCAGGGAAAGGAGCAGACTTTAAGCTAGCTGATGCCTTACAATCAGGAGCACCCGGGTCGGGGGGTGATGCAAACAAGGGAACGAAGAAAGGAGAAACACGGACTGCCGCTCCACCTTCTGCTTCACAGGCTCAACATACAGCAACGGAGGACACAAGGTGAGCACGGAGTGCAAAAGGCAGCGAATGACAGGTCACCAAAATGCCCACAGCAGCAGCAGCTGCTGCTCCTGCAGCAGCTGCAGCAGCAGCTGCAACTCGGGCAGCAGCGGAAGCACCAGGCGGGGCAGAAAAGAAGGCAGCAGCGAGCGCGAGAGAAGGGAAGGAACTGACTACAGGTTGAGAAGGTGTTGATTTCCACATTTCACTGCACAACATATATATGTGTAGGTGGGAGCTGCAAAAGGCGAATGAGACCGAGGGCGAGGGCCGGCTCAGGTCGAAAAGTATTATAATTCGTTAGTAGAATTGTTTGTATAGAGAAGATTCAAGCGAAGGAGGAGGAAGAAGAAGCAGCAGAAGACGAGGGAGAAGTATTAGCAGTGCCTGAAATCATAGGTGTAATAATAAATATATTGTTGCCCTCGTCCGTTGCTGATGCTGACGCTGGGCGCACTGCAGGTGAAATTTGTCTCGCTGCAGCATATATATATATATATATATATATATATATATATATATATATATATCGAGTATGCAGCAGCAGTAGACAGCTTCCCGTGCCTTGCTCTGAGGGCCCAGAAGAGCGAAAGGAACATACTATTGATGCTTTTGTAGTTGCATTCCCTTCTTAATTTACTTTGCTATGCTTAATTCGTTAGAGAGGCCTTCACATTCTCTGCGTATTGCCCTTTTAAAGTTCCCTGCGATGGCTTCGTAGAGGGAAGAGAGGGAAGTATAACTTTTAATGGGCTTAATGATGAATTTTTTTCTCAAGTAGTACGCGTTTACATACGTCTCTACACATGGAAGTATGTATGCATATGTATAATGTGCATCATACACTTCATATATATAAAATACATATGTGTATATACATTCGTTGTGGTATACGTTTCTGTTTGTACACACGTACATTTTTAATATTATTGCTTCGCGTGTGTGCCTCCTCCATTGTAATTAGATGGTGTAGTTTGAGATGATTTGCTGCATAATGACAGCTTACTGTAGTAGGTAAGGGCAGGCAGAAGAAAGGCTGGTGTATATTCGAATATGCATAGCCTCTTTTGAACTTCTTGAAGTCATCGTATTGCTTATATGAGACAGGCGGATGCACACGTTGACAAGCACACTTAAACGGCAAAGTCTAGACTTAGAAGATGGAGTGTTTCTCAGAGACAAGACCTCAGATGTATTATTATTGACTAGATTTTTAATTCATAATCATAATTATTCGGGTAAGTGAAAGTGTATTACTTTTATAGATATATGCTTGTTAATGAAAATATTTCGATACTATGTGCATATCTTAAAAGTAACTTTACATTTAGTTATTTTCATCCGCTGTCAAAGTGCGTTCATGAAATGGCTCGGGAGTCTGGCACAGACAATTCGGGAATTTTACGTAGGGCACAATAATAATTGATGATAGTGAATATGATATTGAAAATACGTAATTGATAATGATGATGACAATAATGGAGACTGTGAACGGGGCCGCCGCAGACGGGGATCTCTGCGTTTCTTCCCCGGTGCTGTTCATACGCCGCGTGAATTTATGTTTAGTTAATTACATTATGCATCATAGACGGTATTTACTACTTATTTAGTATTTATTCGCATACTTTTTGGGCCGTCCACTATTTGCTTGTTTGCACCGGGCAATTCCCCCAATTTGTTTGCTAGCAACGAACCGGAGCCCGTTACTACACAAAACAGAACACAAAGTTGTTGCAGTGGTCCTGGCGGGAAATCATAGTAGAAAAAAAGCAAAAATTAACGTGAATCAAACGAATAATGAAAACACAGAAGCATGTTTTCCGTGCGTTTACTGTAATTACAAGAACGCCTTCATGCTTTGCGTGTCTCATTAAGGAGCTGCTATACACCCCAAATTTGCGGTGTATAGGCAACTAGGTGTGTACCGTTAGTTTGCTCATGAATCAAAATGCAATTCATCATTCATTTTCCTGGATTGCTGCGGAATGATTCCCATTTATAAGGTACGAAATCGAAAGCTTTTGTATTAAAAATATTCTTCATATCATCAATTGTTTGCTGCATCAGCTTCCTGCTTCGCTTGGGCGCCTCAGCAGGTCCTACATCGGCAGAAAGCAAATTGAATTGGCTCAGCCGCTCTGGAGGCACTTCGTAACGAGGACGCCCTAATTCATCCTTCGTCAGCAGCAACTGGGGGCCATCTGGGCGGTTACATTCTCGCATTAAGAGGAATTCCTTCGCACACACACTGCGGTCTGGCTTCCTGAAGAACGGAAAATAAACAACGAGAACGAAGGAAACAGAAAGGTATGTGCACACAAAGAGGGCGAGATCATGATGGATCGAACTGAGAGACAAGAAACGCAAGGGAAGAGGGAAGGACAACAATACATGGGAGGGAGGAGAGGTAGAGGGGCGAAAATATTAAATATATATTTATACAAATGAAAACCAAAAGGCAGAAAGACGCAGGATGAATGAATAAAAGGGAGGACACACGCGTGAAAACGGAATGATAGAAGAACAAAAAGACATGGACAGAGAGAGAGATACAGAGGCACTTAGAGGAAGATATATTGGTACAGAGAAACAAGCAAAAAGAAATAAAAAGAGAAGCTAGCAAAGAAAAAGATGGACGAACCGCGGAGACAAAACAAACCGCGTAGACAAAACCGACAAACGAAACCGATGAGACAACAGCAAAGAGAACAACTTGCAGGAGAAACCCAACATGAAGAACAGAAACACCATAAATAAATACGGAAAGTGATAATACAAGTGACACCTAAATAATAAACAACTACGCTGTGCGCCGCTGCTTGGATTGTCAGAAGACAGAAGCAAACAAAGACAAGGAAATTCAAAGCGCTTCACCTGGCGCAGGACATGAGGTTCGTTATCTCGTCTATGCAATACGATACATTTAAACTGCAAAACGAAACAGGAACATACGAGCAGAAAATAATATATACTCGCTATTCCACTATTTAAGCTATCGCATTCGCAGATATAAACAGTGCTCTTCTCTGTTTACTTGTTGTCGGATATCGGGAGATGGCGGTGCAAACCAATAGTATCACAAATTCCCCCCTTTTTAAATGTGCATATGTTTTATTACGTGAATTTCTTCCAATAGCTCTCATTAATCACTTCTCAGCAATGTATATATATCCTACATGCACACTGTACTACGCTCTTATGCACTACACATATTATATGAAGGTAATATAATCTATAATAGTACATATATATTATCTATATTGCGCTACTACATATCACACATACTATTGATGCAGAGACGGTTTGCGTTCAAAGGGGAGACAAGGAAAGGGGATGACAAAGACAGAAAGGGATTTGCAAATAAACTTAGTGCCTGTCGATAGAGAAAGACAAACAAAAGAAATACATCAGAGCAACGCCATGCAAGCAAGTGAGAAACCCAAAAATGGGACAGTATAAATAAACCAAAATTCAGGGGGAAATAAATACCTTTTCTCGCAGGCGCGGAGTTTAGGAACGAAGTCTGCACACTTTCTTGGGTCTCGATTGGATGTACTCAGGCACTGTTTATATTCATTGTGCACAGATTGACACGAAGCCTGCAATTGCTTCTCCCGCGTCATCTCGGCGCCTCCTTACGTGTACGTACACCCGAAAAATACAGAAGATGCAGCCCAGATATCTCAGTCGGCTGCTGGAGCTGATGCTGTGGGCCGTTCGTTCCCCTTTTCCCTTTGTGGAGAAGAAAAAACACACAAAGGGTGTATTTCAGGGTTAAAATCGCTCTTTTCTCATCAAAATGAACACGAATAGCTGCCTATACACCCCAGTCAGAGAGGCTAACCACCCAGTGCACAGAAGCACAGGTGTGCGTACACAGGGAAATAAGCCTGGAATCCGTTGTCTTTTCCCTCAATTAGGAAGTTCCACTTTTATAAAAATCATTTTTCTAATTCTTTTTAACTCAGTTCACCCGTCTACTGAACCTACGGCCTTTCGCGCAATCGCAGCCAACAGCGACAGCTGCCAGCAGCCCTTGCATTGGTATTACGCAGCTCCAACTTCCTAATCTTCATCGATTGTATTGTGTTGAGTCCTTTAAAGTTAATAGTTTAATAGTAATGTTTAAAACGGCTACTATATTATTTGAAAGCACATTTTCCTACTGTTTTTATAGATCCACGATGTGTATACCTGCAGCGCTTGCCTGCAAATGCAAGCCTAAGGCCTCCTCGGCGCATGCATGCACAAGAACTGTTAATGATGGGAATCGACTTTTATTTATTCTCTTTTTCTTCTTTCTCTGTTTTTCTTCTTCTCCCTCTCCTCTGGATTTCAGCCAAGTCCTAACAAATTCCGTTTATCTTTCATTGGTCTTGTTTTTCTTGCCCGTCTGTGGGGCGGAGAGGCCCTTTTGCCGCCCTCAACTTTCTTTTCAATTGTTGCTTCTTCCCTTCTATCTTCTGCTGGAAATTCTTATTTATTTCTTATAGAGCATCATCAGGCGCCCTCCGCAGTCTTAGTAACCGCTCTTTCGGACCCTAACAAAAGGATAGGATTGTTTTTGTTCTCCTTGTTCTTCTTGTTGCGGCAGTTTTTGTTGTTCTTGCGTCCTGCTCCTTTCTCCCCTCCTCAGTTAAACTCATCGTTCTCTCCTACGCCCTCCTTCGCCTTCCTTGCATTTAGGAATGGCGGGGGCTATCACCCAACCTAAAGGGCACTGCGAATCCCTAAGCCCCTCACGGGGCCCCTCGGGGGCCCCTAAGGGGGGCCCCAAGAAAGGCCTTAAGGAGGCCCTTAATGGGAGCGCCTCGGGGGGCCCCTCCAAGTTCTCTAAGGGCCACGGGGCCCCTGGGGCCCCTCCAGCGTGTGAGGGTTTGTTGAATCTGTTTTGGTACTTGCCGTCTCCTTCTGCGAAGGGGCGGAGTGTCGCTGCGAGTCGTCTTGTGCAATATTTGCTTAAGCAGACAGCTGCAGGCACATCACAGCAGCAGCAGCAGCAGCAGCAACAGCAGCAGCAGCAGCCGGCTGAGTGGCGTCGGCTAGCCCCGATAATAATAGCAGGCGGTAGGGGGGAGTTGAAGGTGCCGTATGAGCTCGGCTATGCACTTAATAGACTTGTAAGGAATCATTATGTCTGTCTTTGTTCGTGCTAATCTTCGTCATTATTCTTTTTTCCTTTCTTTGACTTTGTTGCTGCATATTCCTCTGTTTTTGTCTCTCTTTGCTTCTGTCGCCGTCTCTACTTCTTTGTACTTTTCTTTGTTCGTCTTTGTGTCTTTCTTTTTGTCTTTCTTTGTCTTTGTCTTTGTTCTTTTTTTCTCTCTGGCTCTGTGCATTTGTCTTTGTCCTTTCTTTGTCTCTGCCTTTGTTTGCTAATTCCTGAGTCTCTTCTTCTCGTTCTCCGTTTTTCTCTTTGTTTCCCCTTGTCTCCCTTTCTCTCTCTCCTTATCTTCGTCTGTGTTTTTCTGCTGTTCTTTGTTTCTTTTTTTCGCTGTCTTCTCGTTGGCGTTTGCTGCGGGTGTCTTCATGTCGCCCCTCAATCTCTTTCATTGTTTCCCTCTCTCTCTCTCTTTTTCTTTCATTGTTTATCTCTCTCTCTCTTTCTCTTTTTGCTTATCTCTCTCTCGTTCGTCCTTTGTCTCCTTTTTTTTTCTCTCTGACACCGCCTGTCGTCTTTCACAAGTGTACCCCGGTTAAGGGTTTAGGGTTTAGGGTTGAGAGTTTGCATTTTGCTGCAGTTTTTGGGCCTGGGGTCTCCGCGCGCTTGCGCTCGGGAGGCTTACGCGTTGACTTTGCTGCTGCTACTGCAGCAGTTGCAACAGCAGCAGCAACAGCAGCAGCAGCAGCAGGAGGACTATTTTAATTTGGATTTGGTTGCATTCAGCAGAAACATTGGGGCTGCGTTCCCTGTGAAGAGTGCAGTAAATGCAGACGTAAAGCGGCTGCATTTCGCTCGTTGTCTTGCGGTGTATATACTGCTGGCCCTCAACTTCTTTACCAAGAAGAAGGTGCATATATATATATATATATATATACATATATATATGGGGGTGTTGTTGTTTTCTTTAGTATTATTATTATTATTACTACTATTACTATTATTAAGGGGGCTTATTTAATAATTATTTAATTCCTTTCTGTTTTTGTCTGTTTGCTTACTCGTTTTGCTGTTTTTGTTCGTCTATTATTCCTTTTTTGTTGTGTCTGTCTGTTTATTAGTTCTTCTTGGTTTTGTTTGTCTGCTCAATGATTCCTTTTATTTCTTTCTGCTAGTTTATTAATTCTTGTTCTGTTTTTGTCTGTTTAATAATTCCTTTTCGCTTTTTGTCTCTGGTTTGTTTTAACAACACTACAGAGTTTGCCGCAAGCTGCGGAGACAGCCGAAATGATATGGGAGGCATTCAATGCGAAGCTGCAGCTGCAGGAAGCAGCAGCAGAGTTGCTGCTGCTGTTGCTTCAGCAACTAGATCAGTAAGGCTTCTTTTTCCCTCTTTTTGTCTCCTCGTCTCCTTTTTGTCTATCTTTGTCTTTTCGAGTCTGTCTCTGTGTCTCTTTTTGTTTCCTTTTGTCTCCTCTTACCTTTGTCTTCTTCATCGTACCGTTTTTCTTGTATTGCTTCTTTTCGTCTCGTTTTGCTGTACTTATCTGCCCTGCATTCATTTTTGTCTTTTATCCCATTGTCGTTTGCATATTTGCCGCCTTCAGTGTCTCTACTTATGCCTTTTCTGTTTCTTTTTTTCCTTTTATCTTTTTGTGTGTGCTGCCTTATATTTATGCCTATGTTTATATTTAATTTTACATTTATATTTATGTTTATGTTTATATTTATATTTATATTTATATTTGTATTTAGATTTGTATTTATATTTATGCTTATGTTTATATTTACATTTACATTTATATTTATATTTATATTTACATTTTCATGTACATTTGTATTTGTGTTTATGTTTATGTTGATGTTTATATTTATATTTGTATTTGTATTTATATTTATATTTGTATTTTTTCCATCTTTCTCTGCTGCAGGATAGGAGAGGCAACAATTGTTTTGAAGGCCTGCGGTGATCGTTTTCACTCGTTGTTTATAAAAGGAGACAAAGAGAAAATAGAAACAAAGACAGAAGAAAACAAAAAGAAAGACGCAATAAAAACTGCCACTGGGCGTCTCCCCTGTTCCCTCCTTGCGGTGTACATACACCTCAAGGCATGGGCAAGCAGCAGACAAATACAAGAAGGAAATATCTTTTCTTTGGATATTTGCAGCCGTCAGTCTTTGTTTATTTGCTTCCTGCCTGTCTTTATGCTTCTCTTTCTTATTATATCTGGTGTATTTGTCTCTCTATTTCTCTCTGTCTCCTATATATATATGTACATATATATATTATGTATATATACTGCATTTCTTTTTGCTTGTTTTTCTTTTGTTTCTCATTATGTATGTTCTGCATTTGCTCCTGTTTATTTGTTTGTCTGTCTTTTTGTCTCTCTGTTTTTGTTTGGTTGCTATTTTCTTGTTTACCTCTCGGCTCTTCTGTTTACTAATTTGCATTTGTCCGTTTATCTGTCTAATAATTATCCTGCTTTTCTTTTTTGTTCGTTTGTTTATTTTTCGTTTGTTTGTTTATTCTGTTTGTTTGCTTGTGTGTTTACTTTTTCCTTTTTTATTTGTTTGTTCTTCGTGTTTGTCTTTGCTTCTTCCTCTTTTTTATTTGTTTGCATTTGCTGCATTATAATAGTTGCATGCATTACTCTCTCCTTTTTTTCTTCTGCGTTTACTTATTGTTGTCTGTCTCAAAATGTTGTTATTACTATTATTATTATTTTATTCCTATTTAACTGTAGTTGTAATTAGAATAATCAGAATAATTATTATGATTATCTGTCTCTATGCAGGTGCCTATACACCCCAGCTCGCTGCCTTTCTCGCAGACACCGCCGCATTTCACCCGCAGACGCATCGTCTTTGGGCTGCAGTCATTTCTTTTATTCTGTCACAAAAGTAAATCATTTAGATGCAGTTAAATCGACGTGTGCTTATTTTGCTTTTAATTGCATCTTTTTCATTCAGAACTTTTCGTTGTCTGGTGTTCTTTACTTGCAGTCTGGTAGACATCGTATTTTTCATTCTTTTTGACAAGGCGTTTGATATATATATATATATATTGCATTATATATAGTATAGTATAAGTATATATGTATATATCATATTAAATTTTATATTGTGGATGGACACTAGAATATATAATGAACATAGATATAAAATATATATATAAAATATGAAATATAATATGTAGTATACAGCATCTAGTGCATAATATATAATATTTGATATAATGTAACAGCAAGAACAGGAGCAGCAACGACCAGCAACAAACCACTTCACCCAAATTACATCCTTTTTTTTGTTCTTCCTTATCTCTTCCTCTTCCGTTTTTTTGTTTTATTTACACAGAGATGCAGCAGAATGCTTCCAGCGTCTGTGGGGGGCCCTCGACGTACGCCTCTTTGGGGGCCCGCGTAAGGGCTCCTATGCAAGTGAAGAGGAGAAGGAGAAGCAAATGAAAGGAGGAGAAGAGCAGAGTTTGCAGCGCGTGTTTACGGGGTTTAGGGGAGTGCTGGTGTTTGTACAATTTATTAAACAGCAGCAAATAATACAAGAAGAAGCAGCAGAAGAGGCAAAAGCAGCAGCAGCAGGAAAGGGGAAAAAGACAGCAGCAGCCGCAGCAGCAGCAATACCAGCACCAGCAGAGGAGACGGTGCCGCGAGAAGATTTGGAAAAAATGATTGCAACCATTTTTGTAGAGGGGAAAGGATTCATGAGAGCTTTAATATTCCATTTAGAGTGTATGTACACCGCAGCAAACTGCATGCAGGGGGGAAAATCTATACCCCTTTGCTGCTGTTGTTGCTGATGTTGCTGATGGTGTTGCTGTTGCTGCTCCTGATGCTCAGGGTGGTGGTGGTGGTGTCGCTGCTGCTGCTGCTACTGCTGCTGCTCCTGTTGCTGCTGCTGTTGCTGCTGGAGCGCGTTGCCGCAGGATCAGTAGCAGCGACATTCCGCGTAATGCTTGCTGTGTATCTTCTAGGTGTATGCGCAGTGTATGATTTCAAGGATATGTTAAGGTGTATGCACACCTTCTTTTGTGTTTTTCCTTTGAGTGCAGCCCCTAGGAGCCCTCTACACGCAGCAGCAAATTATTTATTTGATCGTTTAAGAGAATGGATGTCTCCTCAAGGAGTGCTGAGAGAAGCCGCAGCGCACGGCTGCTGCAGCAGCAAGCAGCAGCAGCATCAAGGGGGGGGAGGGCGCCCGCTGCGCGTGCAGCAGCTAGCAACAGATTGTTTGGTTGCATGCGGCTGTCAATCCGATCCTTATTTGCATAAACCCCTATCCCCGTTGCTGCTGCAGTCGCAGCAGCAAACGCACCAGCTGTCTGTACACCTCAAACGTAAGAAGGATACAACAAATAAAAACAGCAGAGGGGAGATATAGAAAAAAAAAATTGCAGCAGCAAACACACACAACGAAGTGATTTTTTTGTACTGTTTGTTTGCTTGTTTGCTTTTATTTGTTTTTGTTTTCTGTCATTGTTTTTAATTCTTTTTTATGCATCCTCTTTGCTGGTTTGTTTTGTTTGTTTGGTTCCGGCCATCGTACTTTATTTTTGTTTGTCTTGTTTGCTCAGTTACATTTTTTTGCTTTTGTTTTTGTTTTGCTTTTGAAGCTTCTGCAATTATATATTGTTTTTGTTCGTTTTTAGCTGTTTTTATTTCTCGCTTGTTTTTGTTTGTTTGCTTACATTTGCTTTTTTTGTTTTTTTGTAATCTGTTTTCAGCCTTTTCTCCGGATTTCCTCTTTTTTAAACGCCCGCTGCAGATTTCTGTTCATCTTCGTCTGTCTCTTTTCTTTTCCTTTGGGGAAGCACGCCGCTTTGCTCCTTTAAGGAAACAGACGCTCTGGCGGTGCGTTTGCTGCTCCTAGTCACTTGCTAGCTAGCTACCCAGTTAGGCATCTAGCTAGTTAGCTGGTTGGACAGCTAGCTAGAAAGATCCCTAGCTGGATAGCTAGCTATATAGCTAGCTATATAGCTGGATAGCTGGCTAGACAGCTAAGTAGACAGCTAGCTAGACAGCTAGCTAGACAGCTAGGTAGCCACCCAGCTAGATAGGTAACTAGGCAGCTAGCTAGCTAGCTGCCTAGTTACCTGGAAGACTAGCTAATTAGACGGCATGCGTGAAAGTGTATGGAATGCGTGCTTGGTTCGAGATGATGGGTGTAGAGCAGCTAGCTAGCTAGATAGCTATCTAGCTAGCCATCCGTTGGTGTACTTAGAACAAGTCTAGCCAGATAGATAGCTAATTTGTTGTCGCTTGTTAGCTAGAAAGTTGGCGCATATGCCGCTGCGTGTTGAGGTGATTTGTATGTGTTGTTTATGCGCTGTGGTTTTGTTTTTGTCCTTCTTTGCTTTGTTTTGTCTGCGTGCGTGGTTGACGTGTGCGCATACCTCAGATTATAGTTTGTTTTGTTTCTGTTTTTTTTGCATGCACAGGTTGTGCTGCATTTGTTTTGCTGCTGCGGATGCGGTGGAGATGAAGACGATCGCTCATTTGCTGCTGGCAGCTCTAAATGACAGCATCAGCAGCAGCAACAGCAGCGGCAGCAGCAGCGAACGATCAAAGGAGACAACGCGAGGCGCAGCAGTAAGAAACATGCGGTGTTTGTGCAAATGATAGAAATGCATGCTGCTCTCTCTATAGGGATTAAGGTTAAGGGCTGAGGCTTTAGCCTTTAGGGTTTACGTTTTAGGGTCTCGGGTGTGTGTGCTCTCAGTTTCAACAAGGCCTGGCCTACCGCAAGACTTTGTTTGTGCTCGACTGCCTTCTGCTGCTGCCGGAAGTCATGCGGTACAGCAGCAGCAGCTGCAACAACAGCTGCAGCAGCAGCATCGTTTTGCCAAGCTGGCTGTTGTCTTGTGCAATTTGTTTTGTTGCTTTCTCTTCCTCTTCTTCTGCTGCTGCTGCTCTCATTAAACCAAAACATCTCCCTGAGCCCGAACCACCTCAAGCTCCAGAAGGCATGCAACAACAGCAGCAGCATGTGGATGTGCAGCTGCCGGAGCTGCTTGTTGTGTCCCTCCCAGACAGCAGCAGCAGCAGCAGCGAGGCAGCGCGGCGGCATGTGAAAGGGAAGATATGCGCGCTTCTGGGCAGCAGCAGCAGCAGCTGCATCGAAATGTTTGGTCGTGGGGATGCAGCAGCACCGGCAACAGCAGCAGAAGCAGAGGGGCTGCTGCAGCAGCTGCAGCAGACTCAAGCGCTGCTCTTCGCCCTCACGCAAAAAGAAGCAGCAGCCAGTAAACAGGAACTGTCTCTTCGTCTCCGCGGCAGAACCCTCAGCAGCAGCAGCAGCAGCAGCACCGGCGGCAATGATAAGGTGCATGCGGAACTAAAATGCCTTATTGCTAATCCTCACCTGAATGAAGGACCGTCGCTGCTCTCCTTCTGCAACTTTGCTGCTGCTCAGGGTGCGTCGCTGGCCTCTGCAGCAGCAGCAGCAGCGCCTGCTGCTGCTGCTGCAGCAGCGGGAGAGGATACCAGAAGACGGCAGCAGCACATTCAGTGGGGCCTCTGTGCTGCTGCACGAATTTTAGGTGTCTCTCTTTGCTGCCTCTCGTTGATTCCTTATTTAGTGTGTGGCAATACGGAGAAGGAGACAACACAAAAGAAACAGCAGGAGCAGCAGCAGCAGGAGAGCGAGGAAGAAGAAGAAGAATCTTCTGCCTCTGATGAGGCTTCGGAAGAAGAAGAGGCAGAAGAGGACTTGCAAGCTGCTGTCGCTGCGCTGCAGCAGCTGCTGCAGGTAGCACAGCCGCTGCAGCAGCTGCTGCAGCAGCAGAAGCAGCGGCAGCAGCAGGAAGAGGAGGAGGAGACTGCGGCAGCAGCATTAACAGTCTTAAGGAACGCCGGAGTGGTCAGCAGCAAGCTGCTGCTGCTCCAGGGGAACTCTGCTGCAGCAGGGCTGCTGCGGGAGGTTGGTGTTGCTCTTTGGGGTCGCCTTTCTGTATTTGCTCCTTCACGGAATGTACGTGCACTTGCTGCTGTTGCAACAGCAACTGCGGCAGCAGCAGCAGCAGCAGCAACAGGGCCCGCTGCCTTTGAAGCGGGGGAAGAGGAAACAGAGACGGAGACAGAGACAGAAGGAGACAGAGACAAACACAAACCAAAAAAAGATGAAGTAATGCAGGTGAAATCAAAGCAAAAGAAGAAGCGAAAGGGAGAAGAGGCAGAAGAAGGGACAGAAGAAGAAGACGAAGAAGAAGAAGACGAAGAAGGAGACGAAGCAAAAGAAGAAGAAGAAGAAGAAGAAGAAGAAGAACAAGAAGAAGAAGAAGAAGAAGAAGAAGAAGAAGAAGAAGAAGAAGAAGAACAAGAAGAAGAAGAAGACGAAGAAGAAGAAGGAGGAGGAGGAGGAGGAGGAGGAGGAGAAGAGGAAGAAGCGACAGATGAAAAAGAGACTGGTTTATCTTTTGAGTTATCTCCGCACGAAGCCTTAGCAACTCTTGCCACAGACAATACGTCGGATACAGGTAAATAAAATAAAACAAAATAATATAAATAAATAAGTACATTAATGGATAAATAAAATAATATAAATAAGACAAAGTAGAATAAATAATAGAATGCAGTAAAATACATAAATATTCAATAATTCGAATAGATACAACGAAAATAGATAAACAAAAATACTTCAAACCGATAGGGATGGGAAAATAAAATAAAGGCAGGAGACGGAGATATACAAAAAGAGACAGAGAAGGAAAGATCCAAAGAAATAAGGCGACAAGGAAAAGAGAAAAAGAAACAAGAAGAGAGACAGAAAATGAAGCAGAGTTAGTTAAAAAGATAGAACAAGAGAGAGGGAAAGAGAAAAAAGAAATAAGTTTTGTTTTTTATTTGTTTACTAAAATATACTGATGGCTGCTGCGAGAGAAGTGATAAAAATAAAAAGCAAAAAACCAAACGGAGAACGCCGCCTCAGTTTTTTTAGAGTTTAAATCATTTTTTTAAAAATTTTATGGTTATGTTTATTTACTATCATTTTTCATTATTTCTCATCATTTATTATTATTTGTTATTATGTATATTCATTCATATCAATAGCATATAATGTTTTATATTATTTTTAATATTTGTGTTCTCATTTATCGATAGTTATTATGAGTCCTAATTATGATTTTAGTTATTCCATTATTGTTTTAAGTTAATATTATTATTACAATAATACATAATAATTTGTCATTATATTATTATTACTATTATTTTATGATGTATATTATTCGCTCTGTTATTATTACGTCTGTTGGTTGTATCATCATTATTAAATATCTAATATAAAATGTTATTAGCCACGGGGGCATTTAAAAAGTAGCGAGAATACTTGTAAATACATGCCATTTATATATAATTAATATATTTTTATTACTTTCCCCCTTACATATTTTAAATCCTCCTGCTGGTACTGATAGCAATTTTATTCATTTTTGTCTCTTCCCTCAGGTCCTTTCCCTCCTTTTGCTGCTCTTCTTCCTTCGTCTTCTGTCTCCTCGCGGCAGCTGCTGCTGCGGCAGCGCAGGAGAATTGCAGAACTGCGGCTGCGCGCGTTGGCAGCACTTCAGGTGTACGTACACTCCACCACCTTCAGCAGCAGCAGCAGCAGCAGTTCGCTTGCACTGGAGGTGCTTACAGCTTTATTTGAAGCATACAGCAGAGTGCTGCTGCAGGCAGCGCAGTCGCAGCAGCGGAAGCAAAAGCTTCAGGTGTATGGGGACCTCAGCAAGAAGCTGAGATACACCATCGAAGCAAGTCTTAAAGCAATGATCAGCAGCAGCAGCAGCAGCAGCAAGGAGCAGCAGGGCAATCCCCTGGTGCTGTGCTGCCAGGCCCTGCAGCAGCAGATTTTCGAGTCCCTGCTGCAGCAGCGCGCAGCTGCGGCAGCAGTAGCAGCCGGTGGTCAGGGTGGGGGTAGTAAGAGTTGTTTTAGGGGGCGAGAGAAACAGAAAAAAGACAGCAGCAGCTGCTTCTCACCAGCTGCAATCTCTCCTCGAGTTAATCCCCCGCTGCTGCCACCCCCCGAAAGAGAAGGCCGCATGCAGCAGCTGCTGAGCGGTGCTGCAGCAGAAGCTGCTTCCTGGCCGCTATTCAAATGTACAGGCACCTCGAACACACACCAGCAGCAGCAGGATTGGGTGGTGCGAGGGATGTGGTTGTTTGTTGCTGAGCAGATGCTGCAGGTGCTACGGGTCTGCAGCAGACGGCTACCACTTGCTGCTGCAGCTCTAAACCAAACACTCGGAGCGGACGTTCTCATTAAACTTAATAAGCTTCAGCAGCACATTCATGCCTACGCACTGCAGCAGCAGCAGCAACAAGCGCAGAAGCAGAAGCACCAGCAGCAGCAGCAGCAGCAGTACGGGGAGGAGGAAGATGCAGCTGAGGGGCCGTTGTTTGGGGGTTGTTTATTATCTCAGTTGGTTTGCGTTGCATTGTCTTGCTGTTCCTCCTTTCGTTCTTGCTGCCTGAGGCCTCCCTTCTTGCTGCGGCTCTCGGATTGCTGCATCTCTGCTGTCTCTTCTTGTGATTTATTTAGAGCAGCAGCAAACGCCCGGTCTCCGTTCGTACGCAGAGAGCTAGCTGACGTCGCCTTTAGGGTGTACAGACACCCAGACGCCTTCAAGGCAGCAGCAACAGCAGCAGCAACAGCAGCAGCAACAGAAGCACCAGCAGCAGAAAGGAGAGACAATGACGCGATTAAAATACTGGGAAGAGATATGATAGCTGCATTTAGTGAATGTGCTGCCAGTGCGTTATTAGGAAAGGACACAAGCAGGAGACAAGGAGGAGAGAGACAAGAAAAAAATGAGCAGCAGGAGCTGCTGCTGCTGCAGCAATCCCCCAAACAATCCAACTCACGACAGGCTGCAGCAGCAGCAGCAGCTGCTGCTGCTGCTGTGCACCTACACATTCCTTCAAAGGCAAGATCTTCTCCTGCAGCTTTTGGCGCCTTTATCATCAAGCGGCTGCTGCAGTTGCTGCATCGAACAGCAAACACCCCCGTTCGGGCCCCACAGCCGCAGCAGCAGCAGCAGCAACAGCAGAAAGGCACCCGAAAGCGAAAGAGGAAAGTGACCAACGCTGGGCAGGCGGAGGACAAATACAACAGCGATGCTGATGCTGCCGCTGGTGGTGATGATGCTGCAGCGGGGTGTACATACAGCAGCGAAGCGCAGCGGCAGACGGCGGTTTGTCAGTTCTTGCAGCAGCTTCACAAGCTGCTGCAGCAGTTTCTGAAGCGGACACCAACGCTGCACCAGCAGCAGGAGGGAGACTATTCTTTTCAAGATTATTTGGTTGCAAGGAGAGACAAAATGCAACGGACGCTGCAGCAGCTTGAAGAGACCCTTGGAGAGGGAAAATATATTAAACACATTAAAGCCATCAATGAACTCCTCACTCGCGTTGCAGCAGCAAATGCAGCAGCAGATGCAACAGCAGGCGCAGTAGCCGATGCACCAGCAGAGGGCGAGGAACAAGAAGATATAGGTGCAGAAGCAACAGCTGCACAAGCAGCAGCAGCAGCAGGGAAGAGACAGCTGCAGTTTGGGGCTGCGAAGGAGATTGTCGAAATAAAAAAGAAGAAAAAAACAAAACAATAAAAAATGATAAAAAGTGATAACGACGGGAAACAAATGCAACTCAATGCAGACAAAACCGCCGCAAACGCTTCTTGCAAAAACGCAAAGAGGTAAAACGGCAAAGCAGTGTGTCATCCAATCCAAAGCATTTGAGGTGTGCGTACACCTCAAGTTGTCAGTGAGGCGTATGCGCACTACACCTCAAGGGGAGCATGGGATGTACCTGCACCCCAAGTATGTACTTTGAGGTGAACATACACCGTAAGAAGTGTCGGTGGGTGTACATACACCTCAAGTGTCATTGAGGTATGCGGACACCTCCAGGTGGCAATGAGGTCAGGCGTACATACATCTCAAGATTCCTGGGGTGTGCGTACACCCCAGGGTGTCCGTGGGGTGTCCCTACCCCCCAACACTCATGGGGGTAGCATAAACCTCATGACTCCTGCGGTGTACGTACACCGTGAGGCGTACGTACACCGCAGCAACAATACGCACAAAGCCTTGTGCAGTTTCTTTTTTAAGACGGGAATATGCAAAATACAGAGCGAAAATAAAAGGAAATTCAAATTAAACTTTTAAATTAAAATGCAGTATACGAAAATACATCCAGACGGACGAGCAAACAGACTCTCCGCTTCATCGTGCACTTCATACGCTTTACATTATATATAAATATTTAGATACGCCTGTTTGTATTTATATCTATTTGTATTCATCTATTTACATATAGGTATATATGGGTGCATGCATCTATATATATATATATATATATATATATGGATATATCCAGTTGTATATGTGCATATATATATATATATATATTGCGATGATTACAGGTATATACGCTTGTTTGGTTTTTGTCTAATTGTCCTTTGTCATCGCATACAATCCAAAAAAACAGTGCATTTTGTTTGGGAATGCATTCAGAAATATCAACATATATTTACTAACATATATGTATATATATTAGTAAATATATATATATATAAATATATATACATGTAGATAAATATGTATGAATGCATTCAATGCTACATGTATAGGCATGTATATATGCGTATGCTATACAGCGATATAATATATATACAATATATATATATATATATA